GATGTTCTTTATCCTGGTGGATCATGAAAATAAGTGGTCTTTGACCGAAGGTCGTGGGAGGAAAGTACATGATGGCGTACACTGAAAGCACAGATCGGGCTTCCCACTGATGCCTCATTTGCAAAGTTTCTACTCGACAGGTAAAGTTTGGCATGTTATTTTCACATCCCTGCTGGTGAAAGATACCTACCTCTATATTGTAACTTTCCAGGGAAGACAAGTTTATTTATTTTGTAAGTTGCATCGTTAGTAGTTATATGGTGGCCACAAATCCTTATTTAACCCGCAAACATGTCCAAATTTCCACTGCAGCACACACAAACAAACCTGTCATGATTTTTTTTATGTACCAATAGTCTTACCTGCGGGAAAGTTTTTAATATATAAATATGGGTGAGATGATGATTCAATCCGAGCGACCGTCTTATCTATGCGTCCACGCACCTCCTTAAGGAGATATAGTGGTTCTGCAACTTTCAGATTTGCCCCTTGCCTCCAAAACCTGAATCAAACGGCTAAGCTGCCTCAGTAGCATGTAGCCAAGCTAACATTAGAAGTAGGGGTTTTGAAGGATACCAGTAACCTGGCATAAGCCAGATTCATATCTTGCAGAATTTAAATTGATCTCCACGTATCATCTGTGGAGGCTCTTCTAGAAAGGGTTCCCAAAAAGGAACAGACATTCAGTCCAATTCTTCGAGCTGATTGGGTACCTGCTTCCATGTAGAAATTTTAGCCAATCACAGCAGCAGTTTGATTTGTTTCCTAACTAGTGAAGTTAACTGATAAGTTGAATTCTTAGCAAATCTGGCCAGCAGGAATTCTAAATCACCTTCTCACCCACAAAACCAAAAAACACATCTAGTTATTCGCTTTTCGAAAAAGAAATAGAGTTTATTCCAGCTGAAACGCCTCTGGCCGATGCGTTGACGTCGCACAGGTCACTGCATTTCATTGGGCAGTAACATTTCTGTATCGATGCTACACATCTACTAGGCAACAGCGTGATGCATTTTTAAGTAACAACTATATTTTTAAGACATAAACAAATCCTATTTAGATGCCCATTGTTAAAACACTTGGGAAAACAGAAATAAAAACTGTTGAAATACTGATAAGCTTGACTTTTTCAGACTATTTAAAGCGTAAAACGAGCCGTTTGATTTAACTGGTCCTGCTAAAGATAATGAGTCAGTTTTGTTAAAAAGGAGGTCCTAATATTTTAAGCTAAATGTAGTTTTAAAATGGATAAAATGCAGAGCACCTTAATAAAGTCGGTGAGCGTGTTGTAGATGTGGGCTCCTTTAGGCAGGAAGAAGCAGCTGCCTGGGCTCACATCATTGAAGAAGAACAGCTCCTGGTCCTGTGCAGAAAAACACCACACTACCAAGGGGGAACCTGACTTTAATGTTGAACTTTATTTAATGCACCGCTCATCTTACTGTTCCAATACGTCTGTGGTCTCTCCTCCTCGCTTCTTCCTGCTCCCTCTCCCACTCCTCCCTGTCCTTCTCCCCTGGAAACGCCACACCTAACAGGCGCGTTAAACCGGCAGACTCTGTCTGGTTGGACAGGGTGACGGAGGACAGCTGGGATGACACAGCAGCGGCGCGACGAGGATAATGAGGGGACAGAGAAAATAATGAGCGAACAAACAGATGGCAACAGAGGAAAGGAAAGTGACAGGCAGGCAAAATAGAAAGGAAGAATGGACAGAAGAGAGTGAGATCTATCTGATGGAAAGCATTGTGTTAGAGCTTGGAGCAGGAATATGGCCTCTGGCAAACACAACATCCTGCCACCAGTACTTCCAGCCTCATGCTGTTGTGGAATTCCAGCCTGCCCAGTATAGAGACAGACCCGTAAGTCAGTAAAATGTGGGGGGGGTTGTATTTATGCAATAAAAACAGTATAAATGGTCCAAATAAATAGGGAGCTTTGATGCGATTTGATTATAGCGTGATCACAAATTCTCAATTGATGTTTAAACCATTAAGAAAAAAGGGCAGAGCTACAAAACATTAAACTGTGTTTGGCTTTCAGGGAGCTGGTTATCTACCTTTGAGATGAAGACAACTTCAGAACACCTGAGCAAAAGAAAATCCAGAAAACAGAATCAGATTAAGAAGGTTAGGAGAAGAAAGAGACAACCACTCACCTGGAGCATCTTAAAGACCTTAAGGAAGCCTGTGTGCGGGAGGAGGGGCCCATTACACACTGCTAAGCTGTCCCCACACCTGGATCACATGAGGGATAACAGCGGCTCAGATTTTTGCTCTTACAAAAAGCAGATTAATATCCACACATACCTGTAGACTGTGAGAGTGGAGCCATTTAGCTCTTCCTCAATAAACTGCAGTCTCAGTTTACTGTTCTGTAACAAACACAGAAAGTGCTTTAATTTTAAAGTTTAAAGTTAAACTTAATCCCTTATAGGGTAATTATGATTAAAATTCTAATTCCTAATTAAAAAAACAAATACTTGAAGTCATAAAACAAACATATAAGCAGCTTATCCAAGTTATTTGCAGTGTCATGTTGCCCTTAATGATGGTTACCATGGTTTTCCTCTATGGGGTATTGTGGTGTTGATCAAACTAAATTTAAATGTCCTCATATGTATAATTCAAGGTGCTGAGTCCTTCGACATATTGAAATGAATAGGTCAGCCTATACTGAAATTGAATTCAAGCGATCTATTATACGTTTCTTTCTGCTCCCTCTGATGTAATTGGTTGGACTTACATTCTTAATGATGTAGGCTGCTTATCACTGGAAGACGTTTGCCAAATGAATGTCTTTGACTACAATGCTCTATAACACATTTGACAATATTGTCCTTTAATTCCTTAAAAGAAGGTAGCAACTAATCAGCCAGTTTCAACAGCAAAAAGGTCTAAATATCTGGTGATGTAAGAGTTCCTGAAGAGCTGCTTGCAGTAACACATCACAGCCTGCTGTTTTCTTCATGGCCCTGCAAACTCTAAAATCCTCAGACCCATTAAATATGGAAAGAAGAAACGCAACAAGTTTTTTAAAAAATTGAAAAATGTATGAATTAAAGAATAAAACTTTGAAATTTAAGGCAGACTATGTAAAATCAGCATTTAACTGCTGCTTGTTAGAACCTAATATTAAGGATATAATGAAGACTTTTTAGTATGCAGCATCAAATTGTGTGTAGCGTTTTAAATGAATTACAGTATAATATAACACTTAGGGAATGGAGGACAATCACAACTTAGGATGACTTAATCCACTATTGACGAGAACTATACCTGAAATAAAACAGTCATTTGATGCATAAATTTCCAGCATTAGGAAAGGCAAGGATAAAGAAGAAGTACTGACCTGGAAGAGTTTAAGAAGCTCTGCTTTGTTAAGCTCCAGTTGGGATAAAGGAAGTTTAAGTGCTGCAGCTGCCTTACATTTAGCCTCAACATCAGTCAGAGAAAAGGAACTGAGGAAGGAAATGGATTCAGGTTCAACAAATCAACAGGACTAATGTTCCATCTCCAGATCTAATATTTTCCTTGACCCTTTAGACTTTTCCATTAGCTCATGACTTTTTGGGCTCTTTTGGGGGTCTGGAGGAGACTTAATTATATACTCTCTAATCGTCTCACAGTTTACAGTTTGTGTAAAGAAAGTACTTTTTTACATAAAATGTATTCAAAAAAGGAACAAACAAAAAAAACCCACAGTGAAATATCATTTTGGATGGTCGTATATTTCCCCATTAGTAATTAGGAAACCAAAATGATGAGAAAGTTAAACAGAAATTCAAACCAAAAATGAAAGCAATGCTGTAAATGGAAATGCAGCCAATTGGAATTAGAATTAAACTTTTTATTGTCATTAGACTGTCACAAGTACAAAGCAACAAAATGAACTCTCTGCATTTAACCCATCCTGTTTGGGAGCAGTGAGCTGCCATTGTGGGGTGACCGGGGAGCAGTGTGGGGTTAAAGGTCTTTGCTCAGGGACTCCGAGTGGCAGGGAAGCCAAGACCTTTTTCTAAGTAATTCAATTTTATTTAGTTGTTAATAGAAGTAAATTCTGGACATTTCTACTTATTTCTAAACTAATGTCTGCAGTTTTTAAACCTGTATAGGATCCCTGAGCACTAGAAACGATAAGATATTTAATGTAACAGTAACTAGAGACGTAATGTACAGCAAAGGAAATAAACTCCCATATTCCAAAAACTATTTTTTTCAAGAAATGCCTTCCAAAAAAGCTCTGCGACTTAAACTTAAATAAAACTGATTCATATGTTCACACAATTACCTCACCTGCTGCTTAGGACATGGTCACAGAAAAGTCCGAGCTCTGACGCCCCTTCCCGGCACACCTCTGCTCCAAACATCCCCTCCAAAACACCCCCAAGGACACACGCTCCTGTCCTCCATGCTGCCTGTAAATGAGAGGTGTTACAGGGGGGTAAGCAAAAAAAAGGGTCTCTTTACAGTTTAGAAAAAAGTAGAGTAAACCAATTTCTTTCTGTATTCGAGAAAAGTACAGCTTAGTTAGCTCTGGTGTCTAAGCTGCCGTAAATAAAGCACCGCTCTGCGTTACATGACTCCTTCGGCAATGGATTCAGACTTCTAAAGTTACATGAGCAAATTTTTGACAAGAGCAGCCTGCAAAGAGCATCAATACGACCCAATATGCTGTGTGATGAGCTGAAAAATCATTTAATTTATCTCAAATTTAGCAAATACTAGGCTAAAAAAATTTCCCAGTTTTGCTTTAAGAAAACAGGAAAAAAACATACCTGTCTCCCTTCAGGTGTTTTAAATCCTAGAAACTGCAGCTCACAGTCTCCCTCTAGAGGACGTCCCAGCTCCCACAGCTCCCCATTCACCTTACTCACCAGGGCTCCTTTCACCCTGCAATAAAACTTGAATTATTACCTGCAGATATGCAACACATGAACACATCTGAACATGCATTATGTATTTACCTGAGATTTTGTGCTATGGAAAGGGGCGTGGTTTCTCCAGATGTTCCCTTTACTGTTTGTCCATCGGTAAGGTGGATGCAGAGAGGGTTTCCTCTTACCTCAGATCTCTTCTTGCCTCGTTCATCCCATAGAGACTCAAAGACTCGCAGGCGCTCAGATAACGCTGGAGACAGCTGAAGATGGAAAGATTGAGGGAAAAAAAAAATCAAATGGAAAGAAGAGCCACAAAGGTCTTTAAAACAAAAACCTAACAAAAGTCAGTAATCTGTCATCAAAATGAACAGTATTTCATCAATTTGGCTATGAATGCTATTCTGAAGCCATGTTTTTGTAACAGGAACCTATATGCTTCTCACTGGTTTACTCTAGTTAGATTCATATTTTATGAGCCTTAAGGGGTTTAGCATAAACACTGGGGAATATTACATTATAGATCCAATGTTATTTCATTTTTCTCTGCTGCTTTGAGTCGAGTAAAAAGACCTTCCAGTCAAAACACCGATGACTCTTGAAACTATGGTCCTCAGGCTTCCTCTAGTGGTAGAAAACGTGAATTTTGACTTCAAAAGGGAGTCTGTTTCAATCGGTAGAACCGGAATATAAAGTCTGACCAGTGACGTAAAGCACTCACTATGCAACACATTTTGATATCAACGTTTTGGTGTCACTTTTGTTTATAACCATTGAATTTTAATGCAAAAGGTCATGGTAAATATTAGCAAATATATCAACGAAGGTCAGGGTTTAATCAATGAACAAACCGCAGACCTAACAAGAAGGAAAGAAAAGGGAGCACAGGGAAAAGGGGAAGGAAAAATAACACAAGGAACAGACAAATTCCTAAACTAAGTTGGAATAGTGGAAGAGCAGGTGGACAGTAAAACAAATACTAATAAATAGACATAGGAGAAATGAAAATGGGAGGAAGAAACATGATAATGGCAAAAGGAGGAAGAAGCAAATGAACAACCAAGATTAGAAATAAGAAATAATTGGAGTTAGCTTAAAGAGTTAAGGAAATAAGGACAAAATAAAGAAATAAGGACAAAGGGAGAAAGAAAAGTATAAAAATAAATAGAAGACAGAAGAAACAAACTAGGTTTGCAAGAAATTGGGACTGGGTAATAAATCGCTATATTACAATAATAATTTATATTGACGCAAATCAATATAAAACGTGTCATTCAGAACCACTTGGTATTCTGGGAGATGTAAGAGGAGGAAATCATTAGCCTGAATGAGCACCGCTGGTAGCAGAGCTGGCTTCTTTTTAAACAGAATTTTTTTATATAGGGTTATAATTTACACGTGTTGTCTTTTTTTTTCTCCCCATGGTCTTTTATTTTCAAAAATGTAAAAAATTTTAATCAATAAATATCAATATTGACTAATGTGAAAGTTTTATATCATGCTAGTTTTCAGCCAAATCCCAAGGCCCTAGAATAAATCAAGGTAAATAAAAGTAGAAAGAATAGATGGAAAGCAAATGAAAGAAAATAGATGGATTTTAGATGGGGAAATGAATAAACTCCGTATAGAATCTCAGTCTTCAAAAAGGCACATTTCTAGGATGACTTAACAACCTAGAGTAAATTACAGCAGACTAGAAAAAATGTGCCTGTGGCACTTTAAGAACCCCCTTCAATATCCCCATTAATCCAGCTGGCAATTGGATATGGTTGATGTGGGACTTAAAAGCCAGTGAAACAAAGAGCATCAGGGATGGGGTTGTTCTCTCTGCTCACATTCATCCCATTCTAAACAGGTTTCCAATGAACACTCTGCTGAACAGCAGTGTGTGTTCATTGTGTTCCATTCCTTGTTGACTGTTCCAACACTATAATTATAGTACAATTATCCACCAAAGTGGCATATTTGAGGTTAACTAAAGGGTCAATATATTAACATATACGTCTTGTTATAAATAAAACAAAGGCTTTGTCTGACTTTACCTCAGACAAAGAAAGAGACATCTGCCAAAGGGAAGATAATGATGTACAAATGTTGATAGTAAGTGTACAAGTGAGGCTAGAGATTTGAAATGTATTCAGATAAAACCCACAGGACAGAATAAAAAAATAAATAAAATTCATACAAATCACCTGAGATGTCTAAAAAAACCAACTCTCTAAAGTCAGAAAAATAGTAAAGAATTGCATCCTCAGATAGATAATCTGAGTCTACTAGTACAGTGTTTTATGCAAAGAGAAAGCGAAATTCAAATCAAGTAAAAAACAAAAACAAAAAAAAGAGTTAACAAAAAACTGCTATACTACTATAACACATGCAGAAGGTATAACATTAACACCTGCAAGGCGAGCTGGACGACACCACCAGCACCTGTAACACAATATGCTTTCTTCTTTTTAATTTATATTAGTTGATTCAATATAATTTAGATATATGAATAAACAAGATAAAAGCCACATGAACTGTCAAAAACGTAAAATCTCTAATATCAGCAAGCCGACATAAAAACTCTACTTTTTAAAGTTTGCATAACATGTTGATTATTAATAAACAGGTCATTGTTTTCATACCTGTAGTAGTTGAAAATTGTTCTTTGTTTCAGAGTAAAGTCACTTGTTCAAGCCTTTTGTAACTTCCCACACTAAATAAGTAAGCAAAGTATTTCTGATTCGTGCTGATATATCAGGTCAATATCGACAATACTCAAAGCTGCAATATAGGCATTTTATATATATATATAATATTTATTGATCTCACAGTGGAGAAATTTAATTATATGGTTTTAAAAGTAGCTGAATAAAAAAAAGAAAGAAAACTACAAATTGGTTCCTTGATGTATTTTAGGTCAAAAAAATTCCTGTCAAACTTTGGTGGCTATAAGCCCATCAGAACATTGGCACGATGCATAGAACAAATTAATATGTGGATGCACCATAAGTTTCTCCAACTGAATAAAATCAAAACTGATCTAGAGTTAGCTTACAGCTTTAGTTAGTACAGCAAGAAACCACTGCTTATGGCCTAAATCTTGGTGTCATGATGGACTCGGACCTAAAGATTGAGAGGCACATAAAAGCCTTTAATCACCTGAAGAATGTTTCCAGGTTTAAGGACTAATGTCCAAACAGAATCTAGAAAAACTCATTCATGCGTTTATCTTTAGTAGAAGTGATCCCTGCAACAGTATCTTCAAAGGTTTGCCGAAAAAGTTCATCAGACAGCTGCAGCTGATCTAAAACTCTGGTGCCCGTGTTCTCACTAGAACTAAGAAAGTAGAGCACATCAGTCTGGTTTTGAAGTCCTTCCACTGACTCCCTGTATCTCAGATAACGGACGATAAAATCCTTATGTTAGTCTATAAATCACTGAACAGATCAGTACCTCAATACATAACATATTTGTTGTCAGTGTATGGACCTCTCAGACCACTCAGGTCTTCTTGTTCAGGTCTATGCTGTCCATCCAGAACTAGTACCAAACATGGAGAAGCAAAATTTCTTTTAAGCCTGAGTTCTTTTAAGCCAAAGTTAAAAACACATTTGTTTACAACTGCATTTGACTGTTTACTGAGGTATTCCAACTATTTCGTTTCCTCTATTACCTGCTTTTATCACGTTTTTACATTTACTTGCTGTCATTTTCTCTCTTTTACCATTTAAATTCTGTAAAACATTTGAATTGTCTTTGTACTGAATTGTGCTACACAACTTGCCTTTTCCACAGCATACACATATGTGCATATATATATACACATATGTGCATATATATATAC